CTTGAAGAAGTAGATAGCTTTAAATACCTCGGGGCGAGGCTGCTACCGAATGTGCAGGGCAAGGACGAAATTGTCTCTCCTATCGATGCTGCTTGCTGGGTTTTCACAATCCTTCGAAAGCGCCTAGGGTTCCGACGCGACATCTCCTAGAGTGTACGCCGAAATTTGAACAAAATTAAGTGCTCGCGACGATATGTGAGCAGTTAGCTTTATTCATGCAAAACTTGACAAGTTAGAACTGAAATAGAAGTTAGAAAGTGGCTCTACATGGCTAGGTCCGCTCCTTGTAGTCCTGCTGCGAATTCGAGAAGGATCCCTGATGTCACTTGATCCCTCGAAGCTATTTCCTCCCTCGGATTCACTTTCGGCCGACGAGCTATCTGCAACGATCAGGGTGAGGGCATTTGCCAAAAGCATGTTGAGGAGCATCTTCATTATGTCCACCAGTTAAAAGAGGTAACACCAATAAGACCATTTGTACATTCGAACAATACAAGAACGAATTCGGTCACGAGATCTTATAACAGATTAATCTGTGCACTACTCGCGTTTATTTATTAATTTTATTGTTGTTTTCATTATTTATTTGAAAACCACATCAGTAAATAACAGCAGATTGTTTTGTTAATTCTATCAGTGTATTTTTCCGCTAAAGAGGTTAACACGGAGAACCATCTATTTCACGCTATAGAACTCAGAATAATAGGGGTGCCCTGGATCGTAAGCGTTCCATTTTTTTAATGAGGTTGAATGGGTTAAGAGTGTGAACAAGCTGAGCAAGATTTACATGTGAATTGAGGCGTTTCACGTTCGCAAAGCGAGTCGGACGACGCCCATTCCGGCGTACAAACATCAGGCCTCTTCTGGCCGGAAAATTTTCCTTTCTTTTATGGACTGTGTTCGGCTGAATGATAAGGAAAACTTGCGTTGATCACTATCCTGAACTGTCAGAGTTGTTATCAGGCGAACGATAACAGACGGGACTGCCGACTGACGATGACATCTTTTGTTTTACTAGCTGAAGGCCTCAGGATACGTCAAAAAACACCGATCATAATTGACGGAGAGGAAATAATACTTACTATAAATACCGCAGTCGCAGTAGCCTTGGCTTTGCTGATAGTCACTGCTGCCTGAGACAGCAATTCGGAGTTCTGTTTCGCACAATAAATCCCTTATTCTGGTGTCTTCCCTTTTTTGCAATAAACTGAATGCAATCTCGCGATTGTAGAGCTCTGGCTAGAGGCTACAGTAAACTGCCGTCGACCAAAGCCTATTAAGGACACCGAATAGCCGGGATATTGCCATAGCCTGTAAAAACCACCATGGAATTCGGAATCCCACCAAAGTGACAGTCCTGCCTGAGCACTCTTGCAAATCGTAAACTTTAACCCACCATCGTTTGTTTTGCCTAGACCTTCTTGATTTGAAACTTGTAAGTGAGGCCGTTGACTATGGTAAAATTTAGCATGCTTCGTTGAAATCTTTAAAGTCACTTAGTGAGCGGCGGAGGGCACGGTGACCATCGAAGGTGGTCTAGGTCGCAGCCTGAGGTCTCAAGGGAGAGGTGTGCTTACCAGGCCCCAGTCCGATCAACTGGCATATCCAAATCTGCTAGGGGACTGACGACCTATGATCGCCAACTGAACGTTTGTACGTCAAATATGCCAATAATATGGTTGTTTGCCATTCTCTCAAAGGTCAGATACTTCTCAACGTACTGAAGGATGACCTGGACCACGTCTTAGCATGGTCGTCAGCAAATGGCCTCCTGCTTAAGGCCCAGAAGTCAGTTCAGTGTCTTTTCGATTGAGACCTTCTCCCAGTCCTGAAAAAGTTGACATTGTGCCCAACGAGGTATCCTCTTTCTGGTACCTTGGTGTTACTCTGGCATCTAATCTCTCATTTACTCTTCAGATTGAAGGCCTTTTTTATTAAAATCCGTAAACTCTTATATTATATCCGCCGCTTGCGTTCATATCACACACCGCATACCCTTATCTGGCGATTTATAGATGCCTGCATTCTCCCCCTCATTCTTTACTGCTCTCCATTTATTTTTATACCTTTGTTTTAAAAAGACCTGGTCATTTTTAAACGCGTCCTCCGAATGCTCTCTTCAGCTGCCGGTGTTTCCTATGTTTTAGGGGATATTATGATACAGTGACACTTTAAAACGGGCAAGCAATTTGCTGATCGCATTCCTACTGAGGTCGCTCACCCATTCCACTCTGAACTAATGGCTGCGAAGTCTTCCCACACTATGCGCCAAAGCTTCCAACATGTCTTGCCGTGCATTGGCATATTCGCACTCTGTACTCCCATTCCTAGCACGCTACCTCGGGTGTGAAGAAGTGGCAATTGGGAAGTTGAAAGTGGGCCTGTCTCCATAACAGATGTGGATATCGTGTGAACCTGTAACTTTGCATATTCAATGACCGTTTACCATGGCCTTTTTCCTTACCTTATACCTTGTTCTCCGTGAATGGGGCCATTTTAGCTGAAAATGTTTGATATCATCTTCAAAATAAAGCATCGCCCTCTCTCATAAGTCGGGCAAATATAACTTTGGGAGGGGCACTAAGCCCGCTTCTCACCGCCGGACGTCCGTCTAGCGCCGTCTCGCCCCATCCGCCCTCGGTGGTAACCTATTCACACTTACGGGAGCAGACGGATGCTGGTTGACTTGCACTCTAACGCCTCGCCCAGCGGCGTTGGCGGTTTGGTGAGCTTGTCAGCTTGTGGTGCTTAACAGCGCTTATAAACTATTGGGAAATCAGAATTACTCCCATTAATTACCTCGTCCCTTGAATATCTCCAGACGCCCAGTAAGGGATTGCAGAAGGACATAGCATTCAATCCCTCAAGACGCTCTCTGAAATCCCGAATCGGAGACCAAATGGACGGCTCAGGGTTTCAGTGCTTTCTTTTGCGAATATTTATTGCAAGTTTGAACGCTACGCTTCCGATCATCCAGGCTTGGATCAGTGCATTATGGAAACCATAAATGATACCCTCTGGATCGTAACTGTAACCATTCGACCGCTTGAACCAGTGTTTGTCTCAATTAGCATTATAAAGGTCGTCTGTGAAGATAGGTAAAAGGTAGATACAGTTCTTATTCTAGAGATCGCGGCTACATCTTTTCAATTGCTTCCTGGAGCTTAAATTTCGTTTGTATCAGTCGTATCCTTCCATAGCAGTGCCCTCTGATTTTCTCCGGAGCATGTAGGACAACTAAATTAATCGTCTAGAAAAGTTGCAACAAGAAATATAAGAATTCATCTCTGTAGATTGTACGCCAGACCTGGCCTAAAACACTGCGCGTTGTCATTTAGTCTCCCACGCAAAGAGAAAAAGAATGTCTTCGGCGCTTTGATTGAAAAAAGTTGGCTCACAAGTCCTAATCTTTTGCGACTTCATCAATTAGAAAGGGTCTATTTTAAGCTACCTAATTGCCGTACATTCTATTTCCTTACTACTTTGAATTACAAGGACCACCCTCAGCGCAAGTGCGACCGCGACCTCAGGCTTGTACGATAAAATATCATCGTTAGTTTAATTTTAGCGCACTCCTTGTCGGCCATAAATTACACATCAAGGTAAAAGTTCTGAACAAAATCTCCTTTGAAAAGTCATATTGGCAAACGTATGTTTTCGGCAATTCATCAGCGGGCCAGTACCACCCCGTGGCAAAATGGCTTGCCGAAAGGTTAAAGCCACTGCAGATCCGCTTATACCCAAGAAGCCTGAAAGACACGTTTGAATTCGTCGGGGCTATCAGGGATACAAATATTGGCGAAACGATGATGCTGTCATTAGTTATATCCTCACTCTTAACCAACGTCCCGGTAGTTGAAACCATGGATACCTATGCGACATCATACGCGAAACAAACTATCAGATAGGGATAACAATGGAGAGGTTA